CCTCTGTGTACTCCGGATCCGAAACCCGCGAAGATGAAAGAGCCATGGGGCTCAACCCACCAGAAAGAAGGATCGAGAAGAACTCCTTGTAGATCTCCAGACGCCGAATCCAACGATTCAACATGGCCAGCGACGATCATCACCACCCCGCGGCGGCCGATGTAGTCTGAAGAAAGGATCCAGATGGATCCGATCTGGATCCGGCGGCACCCGCGACCATTGGTCAGGCCAATGCAGCCATCACCTCATGACACGCAGGTCACCACCGCCGCGCCGCGCATGACGCCGATGGGAGACCCACCCGCCGCGCCGCCGGACCCCACGTTCACCCGACGTTTCTCTGGATCCCGCTGTCCCGCGGCAGCCAAGACGGAGAGGATGGGGAGAAGCCCCGCCGCCGCCCAGTCGGCCAGGCTTTGCCCGGCGGCGCTATGGACGGCGGCGAGGAGGGGAAGAGGAGGAGGAGACTCGAGAGGCGGCGGCTAGGGTTTTCCCTCGGTATTTTTATATTTAGACCGTCTATTGGAAATGCTCTAACAAACCGAGCTATTCAGCCGAGAGAGGATATACATCGCTAGAGAAGAGGGAGGAGGCTGTTACTGTTAGACGTGGAAGTCAAAACTTATCCTTCCCTCTATCTCGCTAACAAGCCAGGGGTCACTTGATCTCTTCTGTTGTTCGCTCCTCATTCCTCTCCCAAGCGGCTAGGTCTCGGCAGCCAACCAGCCATGGCTTCCCACCCGTCGCCGCCGCCGGAACACCGCACATCACCCGCTCCCACCACCATAAGTGACCTCGGCGATGACCAGCTCCGAGAGATCTTCCTCCGCCTCCCGGACCTCCGCAGCCTCGCCTCTGCCGCCTTCACCTGCCGTGGCTTCCTCGGCGCCGTCCGTTCGTCCCGCGCCTTCCGCCGCCGCTTCCGCGCGCTCCACGCACCCCCGCTCCTCCCTCGCTTCCTCGCACACACGGTAGCTCCGTTCCCTGCCTCACGGCACCCCTCCGCCGGATTCACCCCCCTCCAAGACGACGACACTTCCGACTGGCGGGTCGATTTCTATGATCCTTCGCTTCCCTACAAATACAATGGCGGCTGCATCGCCATGAAGCACCGGAGCGTCAAGCAACGGAGAGTTTGGTACAACCCTCGAACGATGGCCCTGTTTCTCTGCCCCAAGGATCATCATGACATGCCCGACGGCACCACCCTTGGGTTCCACACATTCTCCTGCGAAGAGGATCAGATGCCGTCCCGTGTGGTATGTGTCCGTCACGACTACTCACGGCCTTGCGCACGGGTCGCTGTCTTCTCATCGGACACCATGGAGTGGCAAATCTTCCCGGAGACTGCGACGCCGCTGCCTCATGGCTTCAGGAGCACAACCTGCACCGTGCTGGATGGGTTTATATGTTGGCAATGCGTGTCCATGAGCGGGATGATTGTCAGCCAGTACATTTTCGTGCTCAACACAGACACATTTCAGTTCTACCGGATGGATCTGCCGCCGCCCTTGAGAGTGATACCCCAAACATTTAAGATTGGTCAGACCAATGATGGGAGGCTCTGTATTGTGAATGAGAAGGAATGCACATTTAGTATTTGGATCTCAACAACCGGCGATGATGGCATCGAGAGATTTGTGCTGGACAAGATGTTCCCGTTGCAGGCTAGCGTTATGGAGGTCATCAGTTGTTCAGTGAAAGATACAATCTCAGTGCGGCTTATGATGATTTTCAATGGTTTTGTGTATTTTGCACTTCGCCCATGGAGGAATTACGTGGATCATTACAAATCCCCTGAGTGGTTCATGTCCATGTCTTTGGAAACAGCGGAGCTGAAGCAGCATCTAAAGAATAGAAAGCGACCTATCTTCCCCGTCCATCCCTACTCGGCCTGGCCTCCTTCTATGGTATACATCTCGGTAAGCAATGTGACCATGGTGCTAAGGATTCCTTTTTATGTTTGGTCCATCAATTGTATGCAATGATGTTTCCTAAGGCGATTGTATTGCTATATATGAAGATATGCTATCAGTTTTAGTCAAAGTAACATGTCTTTGAATAACTCGTAGTAGAGGAGCTAGCAGTGCTATTCCCATTCCTTCAAAAAAATACTCCACATACATAATCTAGACAAATCTAAGACAAGTAATGTGGGACCGAGGTTGATGTAGACAACCTCGACTACTTGCACATTACTATAAGAGGGTTTATGCAGGTTGTATGATAGCAGTAGCATTGAGATATAAGGCTCCACATACAGAATCTTTAATTAGTACATGAATAGCCTAGATTTATTAGAAGTGTTTAAATATTTGGAGGATTTCTACAGATTATATGATAGCATTACTATAAAGCTCCACATACATAATCAACAACTAGCATATGAATAGCTAGTTTTTGCAGTAGTGTTTTAGCATTCAGATATGATAAGTTATGCCCAATGGTAAGTTAGGTTTTCTTTCTCCTTTTAAAATTGTTTGGTCTTCTACATCGGTTTCAAATTTATGTCTTATTTAAGAAATATGTCCTTCATAATTTGATGTCAGTGAGAACTGAGCATTTGCCAATATATTCATTCCTACGCAGCACGATTCAATCTTTGATTTCAACTGCTATATATATGTGCACATGATTATCCCAATGGCACTACATATCTAACATCTTCCATGTTTTTGGAGGCGCACACCATATGTCTGTGCTTTCTAGCTATAGGTGCATATATATTAGCCATCCATTAAGTCCGTAAAATCTTCACATTTTTTTAGCCTACATATTGGTTTGTTTCTATAGTTAATGAGGCACCCAAATCTAATTAAATTTAACCGTTAGTTAGTTTCATCAAGTATGAACTGTTATCTTTCAATTGCTTTTGTATTATATAATGATATAGTAGATTTAGATGGCAGTGGTGTATCAGTAATTTATTTCATTTTCATTGTCTCTGTAAAAGCTAGATAAAATGATCAGAATCGCTAGATTGTATTCCCTTGCACATATTTGTCTGCATAAACACTAGAATTCTTATTTACATTTTGTCATAGGAGGATTCAAAATCTGAGGTTACTGGAAACAGTGTTGAAGATGTTGGTTCTGAGGGCACAGGAAAGGATTCATCTATCCTTATAAAAGCATTACAATCATATAAAGAAGCTTTGATTAAGGATGGTGACACAAATGTTGCAGAGATAGAGGCCTTCTCACTTTGTATTGACATTGAGGATGAGAATAACTCTCTTGTGAGGAAAATCATTGCTTTAGATGAACTGTTAATAACTGTGAGAGATCGTGCCTTGAGGGCGGGTGCAGACTCTGAATTCTACAGACAGAAGATCAAAACAGAGAACTGGTGGAAAATGTGCAAGAGGAAGTTATGGAGAGCTTTCTGCACTAGCTGAATAAGCCCATCTATCAGGACTAAGTGAGTTTTTACTTTTTGCTGCGTTGGTACTTTAGCTTTTAGATGCTTTGATGACGTTAGCTGAATAAACCATTATCAGTATTCATATGACTGGTTGGCAGGAGTCCTAGTCTTCAGTTTCATCTACTATGCGTCGTTTTAGAGATGACTTGTACCTAGAAACGTACAAGTCCCAAACTGGTGATTCTTTATCTCTGTTCCTAATAGATGGTGTTTTAAGCTTTTGTCAGCTTGGTATTAAATCTTTCCTTGTTGTTTTAGAAGTGCATTTTATGTGTGAGCGAGTTTGAAGATCATATAAATAAAGGTGTGTGGTCATTCTCTGTTACATAATAACTGAAATGCTAACTTTCATAATTTTTCCTTTCGGAAAATATTAACTAGTTAGGTTTATTCAGATTGCAGCAAAAGCTACTTTTTAGAGTAATCATTTTTCTCTGGAACGTGAAACAGAATGCGTGTCATTTACTTTTAGATACTACATACTACATACTATTATTTCCTGCACTTGCCCACTTTATTTTTCCATTTTAGGATTGCTCACAAGTTTAAACTGGGCAAACCATCCTTAACATTTCCCCCTTTTGCCTTTTCTACCAGTACTATTTTAAGCAGACAGGCTGTCCCATCGAAACTAGTATCTGAGGGAGCGCAGACTACACCGAATTTTGTTAACAAATGGTTATTGGCACGTTTGCAGTTAACATCAGGGGCATGAGACGGGCAGTTGACAGGTCTATGTTGATAGCAAGTGCCATCCCGTCTTCATGGACTGTCAAATGGTGCAACCATGACATGATGTCAAATGTCACCTTTGACGAGTGTCACTTCAACCTATATATTCTGTTTTCATTATGTATATGGAAAATAGACAGTGGAGTCTGCTCTGGGGAGCACATTTAGTCCATAAAATTCGAGAACTAAATTGAAATGTGTTAACAAATTATAAAAAACAGTGCTTGACTTTCATTGCGCATGTTGCAAGAGGTAACACCCGATGTGGTCTGCCCGTCATGGGGTGCGGGACTGCCCCTGTGCACGCACATCAGTTGCCTGCTAGTAGGTTGTGAATTTGCGATGCAGCACACAATTATAGCATCCAGGCCACAGCTGCTACCACACTGACGCCAGGCAATTTGGTTTTTCCCAAGGCTTTTGGTGTTGCACATAATGAAACACAATTGTTGTAATCATAATAGGATATTAATCCAGAAAGGCAATGCAAGCTGGGGTATAAAGTGTATTACAATTACATTCTTAGAGAAGCTGGGTCATTTTATCAACAGACTCTAATTGCACCTCCTTTTCTTCTTTAGCTCCTTTGAGAAGCCCGGCTGACAAGTCTCTTAAAAGAAGTTGAGCTCCTCACTCTCATGATGCAAATAGTCCAATGCATCTGCTATGTTAGTAGCTATGCTTATTCTTTGAGGAGTGAAGTGCACTGTAGGTCCTTAAACTATTTCAGGGGTGTCACATAGGTCCTCGAACTATGAAAATCGTCATTCAGGTCCTCGAAGTACAGTAAGTGTGTCATCCAGGTCCAAAATCTCACTAACCGCCTCTAGATGGTCAGCTGGCATGATGAACAGTGCGAAAAATAAAACAAAAAATCTGACAATCTTTGGCATCGAAGATACCACTAGTGCGTGAATAGTAAAAATGTTCATTAATTCAAAAAAATGTTCGTGATTATGCGAAAATATTGGCGACTTTAAAAAAGTTCACAAACTATAAATTTGAAAATATGTTCGCGAACCACAAATATTGTTCGTGGGTATGGAAAAAAATGTTCGCGAACCACAAATATTGTTCATGGGTATGGAAAAAACTGTTCGTGAACCACAAAAAATTGTGACTTTAAAAAATGTTAGTGAACTTTTTATTAAAGTCACGAATATTTTTTTCCAAATTCATCGTTCGCGAACATTTTATTAAAGTCATGAATATTTTTTCCAAATTCATCGTTCGCGAACATTTTTTTTAAGTCGTGAATATTTTTTCCAAATTCATCGTTCATGAACTTTTTTTAAACTCGCGAATATTTTTTCCAAATTCATCGTTCGCGAACATTTTTTTAAAGTCGTGAATATTTTTCAAAATTCATCGTTCCCGAACTTTTTTTAAAGTCGTGAATATTTTTTTAAAGTCGCGAATATTTTTTCCAAATTCATCATTCGCGAACATTTTATTAAGTCACAAATATTTTTTCCAAATTCATCGTTCGCGAACTTTTTTTGAATTAATGAACTGTTCATGCGCCAGGGTATCTTCGATGACAGAGGATCTCAGTTTTTCGATATTTTTTTATATTTATTGTTTATCGTGCGCACAGGAATTCAGGACTGTTTGCCACGCATTGTTATGGTTACTGTTTACGTGCCAGCTGGCCAGTTAGAGCCTGTCAGGGAGATTTTGGACCTGAATGACACACTTACTGCACTTCGAGGACCTGGATGACGATTTTCATAGTTCGAGGACCTACGTGACATCCCTGGAATAGTTCAAGGACCTACAGTGCACTTCACTCTTCTTTGAGCTAGGCCTAAATGCCTTCCGGCTGCCTGATTCTCTTGATGATGCAACCAAGTGTCCAAGTTCCCATTGGGCATGAAAGCATAGATTAGAGCTCTGAAAGCATTGCCTTTGTTGTTGATTGCAGAACATTCTGTTATGAGAGGAACAATGTTTCTGTGACGAATGCCTCTCAGTGCTTTGCATTCTAATGCAAAACTTCCTTCGGCGCCTGGAATCTCAAGGTCAAGTACCTTGACTGCCACTTCCGTTTTGACTTGGCTCAAAGAACTGTAACTTCCTCCGCCAATCAAGTTAATCTCAGAGAAGTTGCCCGTCGCTCGAGCTAGGTCCCAATAAGAAACTCTAGGGAATTTCTCCCTGAGAGAAGGCAACAATGAAAATGTCGCTTTTGGTGTCTTCTTATAGATTATAAAGCAAGTCAGCAGTGCAAGTGACATGAAACCAATTAGGGGGATCAACAACGTAATCAAACGATAGTGTCTTCCTGTTCCCGGAGAGGCTTCTGGGCATGAGGGCACATGGAAACCAGTTGCTCGTCCACAAAGTCCCCCGGGGTGCTCAAACAATCCATTTGTTGGAATTTCCCCTTGGAGATGATTACTTGCTGAGAGATTGAAGGTCACTTAGAACTGTTGGGATGGCACCTGATAAATCATTATGGGAGAGGCTGAGCATGTCCAAGCTTAAAAGGTTGCCTAAGGAGGTTGGAATGACACCCGTGAGATTATTGTGGTTCATTTGGATGGTTATGAGGCCCTGACACTGGCCCAGATTATCAGGAATTTTTCCAGAAAGTCTGCTAGAAGAGAGTGATAGTGCAATGAGTTGCTTAAGCTCACTAATTTTTGGAGGTATGTCACCTTGCAGATTATTATAGCTAAGGTCCAGCCTTGAGAGTTGTGAAAGTTTTCCTAATATGGGAGGTATGGGACCTTCAAATTGGTTTTTTGCTAAAGAAAGTATTGTCAGTCCTGAAAGGTTGCCAAAAGATGGTGGAATGGACCCGGCGAAGTTATTTTCATGAATATCTAAGGATTGTAGGTTTCCTAGACTCTCCAACCATCCTTCAATTGTACCAGTTAAACTGTTTTCGCTAAGATCTAAATCGATTATGCTACTCAGGTTTCCTAGGCTTAAAGGAACTGTTCCTGATAGATTGTTTCCACTCAGTTCTAGGTGTGTAAGTTGAGTTGACAACTTACCAACGGAATCTGGTATGGCTCCTTGCAGCTGATTATTTTCTAAAAAGAGCATAGACAATTGACTAGAGTTTGTTAGTCCATACAAAGATTCCCAGCTTTGGCTGTCCCCTGATTCAAGCTTGTTATACTCTAGGTTTAGTACTGATAGGTTTAGTAGCTTTCCAAAACTAGGGATTTCTCCAACGAAACTGTTATTTGATAAATCGATAAGCTGTAGCATTGTTGCATTGCCTAGCGAAGCTGGGATATGACCATGAAGCATGCTACTGCCAAAGGTAAGACTTTCCAGGTTAGGGAGGGTATCACCAATGTCAAGTGGCAACACCATTTCTAGCATATTGGAATACCCGTCTAACACTGCAAGCGAGGTCAGATTGAAGATTGATGGTGGTATTGGACCTGACAGCCTATTACCACCAAAGGCCAAGACGAGCATGTGGGACAATCCCCCAAGTTCACCAGGTATGCTCCCCCCTAGTTGGTTATCCTGAAGGGTAGGTCCTAATAACTGGGTGGCGTTGCTGATGCTTGGCGGGATGACCCCGGTGAGATTATTCTGAGAGAGATCCATAACAATTTGTAGATTGTAGAGCGAACCAAATTTTTTGGGGATTGGTCCTTCTAGCATGTTTGTGGAAAGATCTATAATCTTTAGTTTTGAACAGTTTGTGAGTGAGTCAGGAATTATCCCCTGGAACGAATTGGATCTCAGGTCAAGGAGGAACAGCTCCTGGAGCTGGTTCAGGGAAGGTAACTGGCCGGAGAAGCTATTGACGGACAAATTAAGTGTCTGAAGGAACGTCAGGTTCGCCTGGCAAGCTTTTGCCGGCGAGTTCCAGAGCGGCGACGCGCCCTGCATTCCCTGGGCTGCAGCTCACACCCGTCCAGTTGCAGTAGTGGACGCTTCTGTCCCAGGATCTCAGGCTTTGAAATCGAGCAACGAGCGCATGTCTGTACTGTTCTCGTGATTGACTATTGAGCAATTGATGTTGCCAGCTCCATAGAACAGCAGCAGCAGAAACGCCGCCGGTAGAATAACCATGCTGAGTGTCCTCAAGGATTGCTCAGTTACCTGCATAAATACATACAGAGCAATGTTCACCGGCGCCCGGCAGAGCTAATTACAAGGGCGTCCGTGACAAACCACCGCAGAACTCAAGTGCTACGTCTGCTCTGCTCACAACCAGAGTTACTTAAGGCTCTAGTAGCTGTGTATGTCAAAATAAGATTATGTAACCTCTCACAGCAAGAAGTAGTCAAGAACACAGACTGTAGCGTACCTCTGCTCGTTGACAGGAGCGCGCAAAACGGCAGCTTCCGCAGCTTGGCTTTGCCGGTAGGAGGTTTGTATGCATACGTTTCAAATGCTCGGTAGCACACCGGTTTAAATGCAGTTTTTACCGCAGGTTTGCGCCACACACCGTACTGTCAGCAGCACTCACCCACTCACGCCTTATCATCTTAGCTTGACCTGAGTCAACGGAGCCTTCCACTCGAGGTCTCCAGCTACTTTTCTCCTGCCGCTGCTGTCTATCGCTCCTGCTTGAGCTGGACAGTTTTGTTGCAGTATGCATGTCCAGCCTCCATGTATTCCAGATCTATCTAGTACTCTCTTGGTCCCAAAATAAGTCTCTCAACTTTATACTAAAGTTAAGACACTTATTTTGAAACGGAGGGAGTAGTATGTCTTTACTGGGCCACATGTGTAACGGCTTACTAGTCCGAGCCGTCGTGATTATCATGCATTCTTTCGGAACCCTGCTTTTCTTGGGTCAAGTAGACTTGTAATGCGCTCGTTGTAGACAACATTTGGATGAGCAAGTGTCGTTTCTTGCACGGCTATATACACTGACAGAAATACCATTCAAATAGAGGGAACAAGTATCTTGGCAGACCCGCCATTCGATGGAAGGGTGAAAGACGCTTCGGCTTCAACTTTGAAGATTATAATAATCCTAAAACCTAAAAAGTGCTCGCGGGCTCGTTTGTCTTATAGAGCACACGCGCTCGACCACCGTCGGATCTAATCACGCTGGAGGGTGAAAACTGCCGAACGGATATACAGCGGTGGAGAGCCCCATGTTTCTCTCTCTCTCGTTGACCCGCACGTAGTCTGGGATGAGAGGGCGGAGTGGGCGGTGCTGTGCAGTTCCACCGTCGCCCAAATCCGTCGCCACCGCGGCGGAACAGCCAGAGTTTGGGTGGCGCGAGGGTGGACCCCACGTGCGCGGCCGCAGAGCCTCTGTTCCTCATCTCTCTCCTTCGAAGCAGGGCGGAGGAGGGTGACGGTCGCCGACGACGATGAGTTTATTCCGGCAAGCGGGAAGGGGGTTCTCCGATCAAAATCAGTGATGAGCATCGTCTACCTCGTCTTTTCATGCGCTTCTCTACTAGATGCCTCGGGGGAGGTTCTGTGATAGGATACTGTCGATTTCACGGGGGAGGGGCAGCAGGGGGGGGGTCGATTTTTGTTGTGTGATACACCACGCGCGCCGGCGGCCGGATTTTTGGTTGCAAGGGACGAGCATTTTCTGACATTTTTGGGGTAATGGGATGTGGCTCTGCGGCCTGCGGGGTTCGAAATAGAAGTGGCGAGTTGATGTCTTCAGTTCACCATGATTGATTTGTCTGCCATTGTGCATCTGCAGATCTGCAGCGGGTGTACAAGTACAACACCTCCGGGCTGAGCTGGATTTCCATGGAGCGACCAACGTCGTCCGCCGCACCAGCGCTCTATCCACGAGCGACCCACGGACACCGGCGAGTGCTCCCGTCCAGCTCCTGGCTCACCTTCTTCAGCCTCGCTTCCAACTAGTGCAGCCCACACGGCGTCAGCATCCGTACTGCTAGGTGTACAACACAACTCCGCCTCGGTCCTAATAGTTCGCGAACCTCGTAGTGCAGCAGCTCCTCGACCGCGTGCACCCTCTGCATGCGCCGCCGCGAGAATTGCAAGCTCCAGCCTACCTACTTCTCCTCATGGTAGGCGTGCACCAACTGCTAGATGAAATGGCCTGCTAAATTAAAGTTGGAAGTAAGAAGAGGATTGCCACATCGAAATAGGAGTGGCGAGTTGATGTCTTGGAGTTGTAGTCATGTAGGTGCCTGACTTTTTATCCGCTGATGCTTCTGATTTTTGTTGCCTTAGTATAATTTTTTACTGAAACCATGTTTTGCCTGATTGAGTACAACAATTATATTACTGAAAACAGAGGCAGGCTAGGCGTATTTGTTGATTGTTCTGGAAGCAAGGGCAACAACAATTGTTTACTTGCAACTTTTGTATTACATACTGAAATGTTTTTGGAATAATGAAAAATATAAATGAACGCAGACCCACTGGCCGTTCCGGCTGAAAGATGATGCACATCAGCCTCCAGAAGCAAGGGAGGTGCTAGAATTCGACATGGAGGGGAGGTGCTAAAACAGTATGCATGCATGATGCATGTGGTCATGTTCTTCGTCCACTAAAGCCTAGTACAGTACTGTCAAGTTGCATAATCATTCTAGGGCTGAGTTGCTGGGTGGAGAAATGAAACTTGTATAGTTATCTTATATGATGTCTACTTTTTTCAAACAAAGAAAATAGACTGAAAGATCTAAATTGTTGACATGTGATGCTATGACCATCAGATGGTTTGCTGGTCCTTCTCTACTTGTTATGTAGATATACTTGTATTTTTTCTGCCCAGACTTCTCAAGGCTTGTCTTTTTTTGTACTACACATAGCTGATTGCTTTAGTGTTTTTGCAGAGGCTCTATCATGAGTTACCTGACATGTACATATCTCGTCTAAAACTTTTTTTGTCTACTATTTTTTCGCTAGTTAGTTGTCTGAGATGGTTCCAAAACTTGCTAGTAGAGATATGTACACATAAATACTTTTCCTTGAAGAATCAAGATCGTGCATGTCACCTTATGTGGGGAGGGTGTGGTGTTCCTTTTTCAACATAGATTCATATACCTTTCTTTTAGTCTAGGTTTCACATATGCCCTTTTTTGCTAGCTTTGTTTCATATGGTTTTGTTCAGTTTAACTTGTTTTTCCTACTTGATTTTAGTTAGTTGCCTGAAACGGCTCAAAACTAGAAGCGGGAGATGGCACAGTGACACCACCTTCATTCGTCTCCATGAGGTAAATCCCTTCTCTTCTCCATGAGGTTTGAACTACTTTTTTGGGAACGACAAACCATTGCTCTGCCTCGAAGTCGGCATTACCTTGGCGATGTTTAAGAGGGTTGCGGGGTGGATAGTTGCCAGGTAGAGGCTACTAGTTACCAGATATTGGGGCGTGGGTTGCCAAATCTGCGGCTTTTTGAGCTTGACACTAGTATGGTTCCCCCCTTTTTAACAAAACTTGCATAATAATTGATTAGTAGTTGCTTGTTTCTGCTTTTCAAGTTGCCTAATGTTTGTTATTTAGTTGCCTGACTTGGTTCATAATTTGCATTTAATGGTTTTGTTACTTGCATGGCTTTGAGTTTTACCAAGATTTGGCCAATACTCTGTCGGTAGTTGCCTCAGTTAACACATGAACTTTACTCATGTGTTATTTTTCCTTCACATTTTCATCATATGGTTCAGGACTTGCTAGTTCCTTCTAGTTAGTGTTCTTGAATTTTCATACAAGCCAGCTGAATATGCATTTATGGTGATGTTTTTTTTGGTGGAAAAAATGGCTGGGATGAGCAAAAGCGCAATTTGGGAAGAACAACCTGCCGCTGCTCCTGACCATAATTCATCTCCTTCCATTAAAGAGCAACAAACTGATGAGGAATACAACAAGTTGCGGGTAAGCTCCCCCCCTTTGTTTAAACATCCACATGGTTTTTTTCAGCACCTCACACACATATATCGAAGTTCACAAACACAACACACATGTAATCACTTGGACTAAAATCTAGGGGTTAGAACATTGCACTTGACACAGAACAAGCAAGTTGAACACAAATGATGGGTCACATACAAATGTTAGGCACAGACCTAGGGGGGAGGGGGAGGGGGAGGGGGAGGGGTTGCGTGTCAGGCAAATCACACATGTAAAACAAGCAAGTCACATTCAAATGTCAAGCAAGTAACATACCCCAGACTAGCAAGTCACATACTCAACACTAGCTGGAATTAAGCTCTTTTTATTTTCCCATTTTCAAAACACCCACATGGTTTGTTTGACATTTTCAGTAGGACTTGCTTGACATTTGAATGTGACTTGCTAGTGTTAAGTATGTGACTTGCCTACTGTGTTTTAGGCAAACTCTATGACCTTTGCATGTTTTTGAATGTGTGATTTACCTGACACATGCCATTCTGCTCCGGAGCTTAGTTCCATACTGTCTAGGGGGATCAAGTGTTTCTTGATTGCCCTTTTTGCATTTGTACTTGCCTAGAAAAACATCAGTACTTGCCTACAACTATTTTTTTCAGTGATTACAGTAAAACTAAATATAAAGAGGCCAGTAGGTCAGTTAATGACAACATGTCACAAATTGCTTAACGGTAGCACTTGATTTACTTGAACAAACCCGTAGAAGTTGCTGCCCTTTTTCCAGGCAGAACCATTTTTGTACAAAAGCAAACTAAAAACGACGGGCTTTTGTGATTTTGCTTTTTCCCACCCATTTCATTTTTCTCTTAAAAGTGCCCCAAATAGTTGCTCACACTTTTCTCCTTTTCACATCAAATCCTAGCATGCATGAGCACACAGGAGTTGCTTCACATCAAATCCTAGCACACATGAGCACACATGAGTTGCTTACTGGCAACACTGATTTTGCTTAAACAAACCTTAGAAGTTGCTGCTCTTTTCTGTTTTTCAACACACTTGCGGTACAAAAACAACCTAAGAAAAACATCAAGGGGT